TATTGGACAGATGAAAAGGGATTGTGGGGGGGGGGGGCGGTGTTTGTTTGCCTGTTTGTTTTTTTTCACCTGATAGCAAAATACAACAATATTGAACAATGGAAAGCTTCAAAATTTTAAAGACGTAGTGGTAAGTTAAATTATTGAAGCAGGATAGCATACAGTAAGTGCCATTTGATGTTAGTGCTAAATCAAGCACTGGAAAGTTTGAGGGCTTCTTCAAGTATTGACAATGTATTTGACTTCCAGTTGAAATAAATCATTACAACTAGGGTTTTTTTTTTTAGTGTCTCTACCCCTTCAGAGTAGAAAAAATGAAAAATGTATGGTCTAAAGTGGCTTCTACTTTCAGTGGTCATGACTTTCAGTAAACAGGTTTGGATTTGTTTCTATTTATAAGCACAACTTAATGGCATCAATTGCTAGAGTGTCAGATTTCCTCTGTAAGTTTGTCACGGCAGAGGTGGATGCTACTCTATAGCTAGGATGTTTATGAAACTCTTATTAATAATAACAGCACTATTTCCATATAGGAAATGCATCCAGCAAAATAATCTCCAGGTGCAATACTAGGTGCAGATTTTATGTCTCACTGCTGTGGTAAAGGTGACCTTCAGGGAAAATACGTGGCCTTTTGGTTTTGCTGCCTGCTTTCTTCTATATAGGTCTGAAATTAAAACTTGAAAAACACAATTAAAATCAGCCACACCAACAAACCCAAGGCTTTCCTTCTGTGCCAGCAAAAGGAAAGTAGCTTTTCATTGTTTTTAATGCTAGTCATGTGATCAGTCAGCAGTCTTTGAACAGTTTTTCCTTCCTAGCCTCATTCAGCCCTGTTTTTCTGACCTTGGCTTTTGCAAAATCTGAGTTCGTCTAACAACCCCTGACAAAATAGGTTGATCACTAAATAATCAACTCTTGATAACAGGAAGTGAATCACTCAAGATGCCACTAATAAACTTAAGGAACCTGCCCCACCTGTCTCTGAGAGCTCTGATTCACTATTTCTGGGGCTTCACAAGGAGATAGCTGGAGTAGACACCACCACTGTTGTTGGCTCTGCTTTGGTATCATGATCTTTTGTCCCCGTGACAGAAAGGTAGAGGCACAGAGAGGTACAACCACTCTATAGCTGTCACAGCACGTAGCTCAAGTTGATTTCAGTTTGGGTTAGTAAGCTGGGTGGCCAAAATACAGAGGCTGGGGAGTGAGCACACAGTCTTTTGAGAGAGGGCAGGGCTGACCTCTGGAAATGGTGAAGGATGAGCAGCCCTGGCCCATAGCTCCTTCAGCTGCCACCCTGTGACTCACCAGAGCTTGCCTGAAGCTCCCCCAGAAGCACCATTACACTGGCAGCAGGCAGTATGGAATAAAGTAGGCTCCAGTGGTGACAACATGAAAGTGGTTCTTAATGAGATGTGAAAGCACTAAAGAAAATTCAGACCCAAAGGGCAGCCAGGAGAGAAAGAGAACTCAGTAAGTTTTACCCACCCCAAAAGGAGCTGCTAATCACTGGCACTATTGTGAAGACTACAATAAATCAGTGTCTGCCCTGGCCGCCTGCATCTCATTATGCACAAACATGCAGATAGAGAATGTCAGCCTCAATAGTGATCTGTCATGTGAATGCTGCCGTGTCCAAGTGGGCTGGCACTTGCATGGTTACCCAGCTTTGTATATTCTTTTTTCCTTTTTTTTTTTTTTTTTGGGGGGGGAGCGGGGGGCTGGTGAGGGGTGGCATATCTATTTCCTTTTGGAAATGTTGATTTCCTCCATACCGTGGGTAGTAAATTTGCCCTTTCCTTCAGTGATTTGTGAATTCTGTGATGGTAACATTGTATTTGAGGTGTGGGAGTAAAATATCTTTCATATATGTCATACTTAGTGATTGAGGTTTTGTTTCGTTTGGATTTATTTTTTTTTCCCCCTAAGCCCTCCTCTGTGTGTGGTGTCGTGCATATTACTGAAGCTAGGGCAACCCCTACATGTATTTATGCAGCTGATGTATAGTGCCCATTACTCAAGCATCACAGACTGCCTTGGAAAGTCTAATTAATTTAAGCCCTGCAGCACCCCTTTGAGGCAACTTTTGTTGGTCCTGATAGATGTGCACATTGTAGCTGCTCTCTGTTATTTATTTTTAATATGATTTCTATCCCAGAAAGGGGGAAAAATGAATGGTTCTTATTTTGTTAGGTAGCTGAAAAAAATGTTGGGCTTTTGATTGAAATAAAGTATGTAGCAAACTTCAGCTTTTATTACAAGACATGTTTCAGAGTTTCTTATTTTCTTTTAAAGCCTGAGTTCCTGAAGCCGGGTGAACCTGTAGATGTCCTTTTGTTTTTAAACATCTGTGTCTAGCTCATGTAGTTGCAAAATAAATTTCAATGTATTTTCTCCACTTAATCTAGACTCTGGGATGTAGTGACGAACTTGACTAAGGCTGTGGGTTTGGTTCTTTTTAATCTTGAACTTTTAGTGTGGTTAGGACTGGCAACAGCAGTGACAGAGTTCATATGCAGTTCAGAAGAGAATCCCACGGATCATTAGTTGTTTTTGTGTTCATGTTTTAATTTCAGAGCTCCTCAGTCCTATGCTATAGTAACTAGGTTAAACAAGGTTACCATCTCCTCCCTCCCCCTCCATGAGCAAACGGAGGATGTTTTTGAATGTCAACTCACAGTTTTATTTGCTTATAGTTGGTCTTAATCTTACTAAAGAAGAATTCAGCATATCTTCTCCAAATGCTTTGTCCTCCGTGTTTTTTTACTCTCTTTTCTCAGCTGAGCCCTGTCTCTCCAGTTTGTTTGTGAACACTTAACTCGTTTCGTCTGTTGTTCTCTCTTACCCTTCCCACATCCACTTTCAGTGCTAGATCCCTAGCTGCCTCATGTCTTAAGGAGTGATGAGGACTACTGAAGTGGCAGGTTTGAGCTGGCTTTAAACCAGGGGCAATCCAGTTCTTGTGTTTCACTCCATTCTGCAGGAAAATTCTTAATTCCTTAACATTTTTCTAGGGAGCAGGTGTCCCCTACAACCTGGGACGTAATTTCACAATTGTTTTAAGCCAGTCTGAGACCACACTGTCACCAAAGGAGGCAATCTCTTTTTTCTAGTATCTGCTCCTACCATCTCTTTTCAAGCAGCTGCCTGATACGGCAGATTGCTATTTTTTTTTTTCAGTAACTGTAGGTGAGGAACCTGATCTGATTTGCATCATAGCCCCATGGGCGTGAGCACTTATGCCAAGAAGCCCTGGGAAGCATCCAGCCAAGAACATGGAAAAAGTGTGACCGCTGCTTTTTGTAGCAGTAAAGTCTCTGACTGACTTAAATTATTAGCTTATGACACTATGTTTAATGTAGTTTCAAGATCTCACTAACAGCAGTGATCCTGCATCTAGCTGCTTGCTCCTCTGCTGTTACCTTCTGCTCTGTGTTAGCACAAGCCATCATGAAGCTGTGGTGAACCCTCCTGGTTATCTGTGCCAAATGGGGAAAGAATTTGTCTTGTTTTCTCCATGTGGTTTTGTTAGGCATTTTTTTTTTCCTAAATCATCCTCCTAGATAACCAAGTAAGTGACCCACTCTTGGGCCACTTTTCAATCAGTGCTTTTCACAGTGTGCATAAATCTGCTGTCCTATTTAAAGGCAGTGAGTGCTGTGATAGGTTGCTGCTCCTCAGGATGAGCTGGGCGTTGTTCCCATGCTCTGCAAGCCACAAGACAGCTTCGTGCTTCCGCAAATTTCTGCTCAGACTTGCACTCAGCCTCTACTTTGAAACCTCATAAGCTCTAAGGCAAATAGTGCTTTAAAGAGTATGCAATACAGCCTGTGTCCCAGATGAACCAGGTCGCCAAGACACATGGGTTGAGACTAAAAGAAATTTGAGATAATTGTGACTTCATCTTCTTGGCAAATATGGGCTTGGCGAGTTTTCCCTTTCCAGGAACATGACTATTTTAAAGCCCTTCAGCATGTTCAGCTGTTTTGAAGGGACTGCAGCAGTATATCTTTGCCAAAAATGATACTTTGTATTTATTTTTCAGGGCAACTTTCACCATTTTAAAACTGAACGTAGACAAAAACATTAACTTTTTCTTTGTGTTTGTGTGTTTAGTTGGATATGAAAACCACCTCTCCTTTCTTCTGTTTCGGCAGTTAAATATTCTGGTTGACACTGGGAGCAGTAATTTTGCTGTAGCAGGTGTGCCTGATCCTGATGTCACCTCTTACTTCAATACCGAGCTGTAAGTACCTGTTCTGCACACCCTGATGGGTTAGGATGACTTTTAAATTCTCTCTCCTCCATACAAAAGAAGATGGTAAGGCAGTTCACAGGGCTTCTGTGGTGTCCCATGACAGTGGGATATTTGTTGCCTGAATGGTAACATTGGCCTTTTCTAATGCAAAGTTCTGCCTGACACCATGAACAGTCCCACTGATGGCAGCACAGCTGAGCAAAGTGCTGAGTAGAGCTGGAGAACAAGGAAGAAGGTTACATGGTAAAAATCGTTTGCAAAATCACACCAATTTCAGGCAATTTCTTAGCCAAATAGCCTTGAAAGGAATTAAAAGTTTAAATATACTTTCCCTTTTTTTAAAATACAAAAATTGAAACTCAGTAATTGTATCTGTTATTTGACGTTTCATCCAAACGCAAAACCATTAGTCAAAAACAAATTTGTTTTTCAGTTTGGCCTTTATCAGTTAGTGATCTGGACAGACCCTCCAGAATTTGATTGTTTATAAGATACAACTTAGTAGATTTGGTTCACGTTGCGCACTAAGTTTGCTGTGTTTAGCATGTGCTGACATTACTCACAGTCAAGCACATCTTTGTCTGACTGAATCACTGTCCCTCCTTTCTTCTTGCTTGCCTATCTTTAGTTTCAATTATTTTGGGTAAACTTCAAAACATAGTGTCTATCTTTAGCTGAAGCATATGGGTAAAAATACTTAAATTTCTGGGAAGCTGGAGAGTATGACCATTATCATTACCTCTATGTATTTTAACATGGGATTTTGTTGTTTTGTTGTTGTTTTTTTTCTTCCAATAAGATGCACTAATAAAGGAAGGAAAGTTGGTATTTCCATGCTGTTTGCTAGAATAGCCTTACCTCCTGTGACACATGCAGATGTTAATGGAGATATTTCACATCTCACTCTGATATGACACAGATCTGGAAAGTCCATAATTTGTACCTGAAAGCCATTTCTGCCTTGCTGCAGAGTTTTGCATGTCAGCTATCCACTTCCATAGGGAGTGGCTAGAGGAAACTTAATTGCAAGGAATTAAAAGCACAGAAGTTCCTTCTGCCTTTTCTCTTAAGTGGTGTTATTTTGTCTGGAAGGGCAAGGCCTCTCTCATAAGAACCATAAACAATTAGAAACAGCAACAGTAGAGGCTGTGTGATGAGAAAGGCTGTGAAATCACTTGAAGGTTACAGTCTCTTGTCAGTGTTCTCAGTGTACACTGTGTTTTCAGAACTTTGATATAAAGTAAATAATGAAACCTTGAAATTGAGGCACTGAAGAGTTAAGGGTGTTTGTAAAATGATTCAAACCCAAGCCATTACAGTCCAGAGTAATTGCAATAGCAGTGTCGGTTTGGGTTGGATTAGTGGAATACTGCAATATGCTCAGAATAAAATGTGACCCTTAGCATGTTTGAATCTGGCTACACCATGCTTCTTCTGTTTTACATACTTTAAATACATTTAAATAAATGTCATCTGGGAAGGATGCTAACCCCACTGAAATCAGCTGGATACTTAAAAGCATGTTGTTTGCGAGAAACCACTCTGTGTCACATAGTATATACCCTAAATGAGGCAGGGCTCTCACCAGATCAGGTCAGCCAAGTCCTGTAAACCTTTATGGGTGGAGAGTCCATGTTCTTTCTGGGCAGTGTGTTTCAGTGGTGTGCTGCACTCTCCTGTGGAGGAAATATTTCCTATTGTCTGACTTGAACCTCACAAAATGTAACTCAAGGGTGTTGCCCCTTGTGTTATTATCTGACACTGCAGAGGAAAAATTGGCTGTGTCAGCTTTGTCTTTTAAGGTGGTTTAAGTTGCTGTGAGATCTCCTCTTAGCCTCTTGTCTGCAAAACTGAAGCCTAGCTCCTCTCAGCTTCTCACCACAGGTCCTGTATTCATGGACCTTGACCTATCTGGTAGCCTTCTGCCAGTCACTCTTCTTTTTCTCCAGATGGCTGCTGAACTGGGTTCTCACAGCTGGCCACAGTCTATTGCAGATGTGGTCTCACCAATCCTGACCAGAGGGAGAAAGTGACTTCCATGGATATGTTGTCCACAGCCCTCTAAATGTGGCCTAGCATACAGTTTGCTGTATGCACCTGGCAAATACAGTGTTGTCTCTTACTAAGCCTAGTGTCCACCATTACCCCAAGACCTTTTAAGCTGTTTTCAATTGCTTCCCATTCCATCCTCTTGCATGGACTTTTTTCCTCTTGGCTACAAAACTTTAGGCTGGGAGGTTTTTGTTGGCCCCAGTCTTGCCATTTTTCAAGGTTCCTTTGGATTCAAGCTCTGACTTTCAGCATGTCAACTACTTGCCTTAAAGTACTGTCCTGTGCAAACCTGCTGAGGGTGCAGTCTGTCTTTATGTAGGTTCTTGATGAAGATGTTGAACAATTTTTCCCCCACTGATAACCCCTGTGGCACTGTGCTTGTCACAAGCCTGATGTTGAGCCAATGGCCACTGCTCTTTGGGCCCAGTGGCCTAGCCCATCTTCAACCCACACAGTGGTCTGTTTGTTCAGCCCCACATCCTCAGCTGCCAAGTGGGAGTGCCATGGCGTGTCAAAAACCTGAGTGAAGTCAAGATGTGCTACAGGCACTGTTGTCTCCTCATCTGTGTAGTCAATCATTTTGTTGTAGAAAGCAATGAGGTTGGTGCCATGCCTGTGTAATTCCTCACTGAGTGTCCACAATTACCTTCTTGTTCTTCATGTGCTTGGGAACAGATTCCAGGAGGTTGTTCTGTTACATATGTGTAAATGAGACAAAGGACATACGGGCACTTTTCTTACACACTAGGTGGAATGCTTCAAAATTAGATAAAGAGGTTTCCCCTCATCTGGAAATCATTCCTGCAATTTTTCCCTATATTGTCATGAAGTGCTTCCATATGAAAGTCATAAACTACAAACTGAAAGTGAGGGGAAAGAAGGATTAGCAATTTGTTAAGTTAATGGGACTGAGTTATAGGTGTATGCCTATTAGAATATTAATATTGTGATGGAGAAAGAGAGTGATGGGTCTGAATTTCCTCATTGCCATGCTCTTAGTTTAATTTTATTCAAATGATCAATATTTAAAATTAAATGCATGATTTTTTTTTGTCTGAAATTGAGGAGGATGAACAGGATAGGCATTATCTTTGCTTCTAAGGACACAGAGGGTTTGTTGTTCAGGAAGAGCCTCCTAGAACTAGCTTGCTAAATGATGTTTTGTGTCAGATAATCCGTGTCGTATAATTCTACTGTTTAATTATCTAGGTCTCTCTGTACAAAATTAATAAAGTTGTTATCATGAACTCTCACAGCTTGGGCTTTTGAGTGGCTCTGACAAAACTTTGCTTTGAGAAGTTCTGAGTCTGCTGTGATGATCATGCTGTATAAATCTCTATGAGGTATAAGGTTTTGGAAAATGGCCTCATTTGTCCTGAACTGAAAAGAAATCGCAAAAACGTTTCTTTCTCATGCCTTTCAAAATAACAAGTAGTTTTTGCTGAGCATGCTACTTATGCTAAAAGAGCTACTTAAACAGAAGCATAAAGGGTTTTTTTACACTTGAAACTAAATTGTCAGTGATGCCTCTGTAGCCATGCGTGGAAGAGTGACATACTCAAGGCTGTCAGTATTCAGCAACAGTATTTAGTTTTATTTCAGTGTGAGTACTACTGTCTCACTACCTAAAGTTTCAAGAGCAACTTGCTCAGGAGTTGATCATTCTAAAAGATAGGGAGGTAAGAAAATTATGAGTAATAAGTTGAGGTAATACAATAAGTTACGTATCAGCAAGTAAAATTAAGCTGCTTTAAAACAGTATGTGAGTTTGGTTGTATACACTGTACAGTTTGCCATTTGGGGTAAATTATAAACTTGTTCCAGAACCCCTAAAAATTAGATGTGACTTCTCAGTTAAAAATCACTAATTTATGTTGAGCTTTCATGTTTGCTTTGTATTAAAGTGAGTGGCCCTGAATCATGTGTCTTGTGCCATCTATCTGTTACTACAGAGGGAATCAAAATTTCTGTTCAGATTTGTTTGCTCATTGGTGTTTTCTGTCCCTTCTTTGCCATTGCTATCTGCAGAGAGGTGCTTACAAAGAAGTAAGTGCATAAGCAGGAAAATCTAAAGTCCTGCTTTGTTGCAGAGGAGCAAAAGAGCATGGAATTAAGAAGGAATTGCATGTGTTTGGCAAGATTGGTGTTAAGCAGGACTTTCTGCATAGTGAATTTGCTGTTGCCATGTTGAGCTTCCTTCAAATGAAGCATGGCATGAGCAATACTATTTTGGTTGTTTTGTTCAGTGCTATATGCTGGTGATGAGAAATAGCTCTGCATGAGAAAATGAACCCATTGCTAGTTTTCTTAGCTGAGGCTTGAGACTGTTTGAGATTGAGAACCACGTTTCTTTTGGCCGCTTTGGAGAGAAGAGAGTAACCAGGACAGAGAGGGGAGATGGGAATGGTGTCACTACCACACCATAATCTAGGAAGCCTTCTTCCTTGCCTCTGGCTAAGGTACACTTCATCTTGCTGGAAGAGTTAAATTTCTTATTTTCTCATCACAGCCAAAATGGCTTGTTTGGAATTTTTTTGTGCTGTGTTTTTGTTTTAAAACATTTGGCCCATCAATCAGAACAAGTCTCTAGTTTTAAACTCTAAAGTTTTCTTCCTTTAGATCAATGAGGTAGAAAAACACAGGCTGATTATAGTCAAGATGATGGAGCAAGAAGTGGTTTTGCAGAACAGATTATAATTTACTGCCACAAGGATTATGTAAGATCCCTTCCCACATGGGGAATTTTTCTCCTTGAAGGATATAATGATCCCTTCTCTTCAAAATAACATTTGTGTGCTTTACAAATGAGGGGAGTATCCTCATACCCATTTCTGCAGGTGAGGAAGCGGAGGCACGGCATGCAAGGAGGTGACTTGTCCTGCCTTTCCACAAGAAAGTTTACCAGCTGTGCTGGGAAACAAATCCAGCCATTCTGTGTCCTGGTCCACAGCTCAACCCATCAGGCTGTTACTGCTTACAGAGGAGCTGTGTGCTGCTGCTGTTGTTAGTCATGCACCATCTGTATTTGCAGATTCGCTTCAGTTTAGTCCACCAGGACTCACTTTTCTCTCTGATTTCAGGTGTTTCCTTTTCTGTTGCACAGCCAGACACTTTTCCACATGGAGAACCCTGTATTTTCCCTTCCTTTTCCTGCCCCCCCCCCCTATTTTTTCCTATGTTACTAATTATTCAGGCTCTATTTTGATTTATAAAATGTACTGGCAGTATCACAGTGGTGCTCTGTAGACCCTGCCTGAGCAGAAATGTCCCTTTGTCTAAATGTCATACAAATGCAGAATTACTCAGAAAGGTAAAACAGCAGTAGCAGTAGAAGTGAGCAGATACAGGTAGTAACAATATGTCTGGAATTCATGCATTTTGAAATATAATCTTTGGGGCCTATCATCTCATGTATTTCATCTGTCTTGGATGTTACAAGCTACTGAGCCATGAAGATCTTTGAAAGATCTAGCATTGGGTGTATCAAGAACTGCTTAGGGCTAAAGCCTGGCCTCTTACTACTCCCTCCCTCCCTTAGCTAGGATGAGAATTAGTTGCATGGTCCATATGCACAAATTATCCCTCAAGATAAAGTGTCTGCTTGAATAGATGGGACTTGTCTGCTTTTTCATCTAAAGGTTTTTCCCCATAATAAGCAAAATCACACCAATTTAATTCTGGTGAGCTCAGGTACAGAGGGCTGTGCAGCCACTTTATGTGGCTGTTTCTGTCAGAGCAGCTGTTAGATAAAAATTGGGTTGGTAAAACAGTCCACACTTGATAAATCATCTGCACTTTCATTGTTCTACACACATGTAATGATGGTGTTATGAAATCATTTTAAACTTGCTTGCCTTTTTTTTTTTTTAAATTTGCTTCTGAAGCTGTCAAGCAAAAAGTCTGTTCGAATGAACTGAGTGTGATCATCTGTTTCTTCAGAAGGGGAAGCTGTATGCTGAGGAATGGGACCAAAATAAATTGTAAGGGATCTAACTTTTCAGTGGTGATACAGGTGGAAGATGAGTACTGTATTTATAGTACAGGATTTTAAAATGAAAAATTTATTGAAGTTTTTTTCTAATATTTTTTCTTAAATCTGCTAAAAAGGATTCTTCTCCTTTCTTTACTTGCCATACTTAACTGCTCCTTTGCGTTTGCTGCCCTGGTCTACAAGGAACTTCTTCCTTTCTTTTTCCAAGTCAGTGAATCATTTGTTAGGAATATCCAAGTCTACTTACTTCCTGATAGACCTGTGTAATTAGAAAACCTGTGTCCTGCTGCTGACACAGTAATATCCAAATTTACCCAACACAGATTTTGAAATAGTATTAATGAGATATTAGGCTACAGCTATTCAGTTAGCTTGGTGTTTCAATTTTAGATTTTAATTCAGAAGCTTTTCAGTTTCTGGTGCAACTGAATATGTTCCATCTCCAGTTAGAGTATTGCTCCTGTAGTGATAGACCAGTCTGAGTCAGGGACACAATGCTCTAGGTGGCATAATACCTTAGATTAAAAAAGAAAAGAAAAAAATACACACATTGTGGAGATTTGAGTCATTGATGACTTCAGGATAAAAACACGGCCTCAAGAGTTCTGTTTTTTTATTACCATTTTTCACTGCTCTTCCCCTTCTGTGAGTATATGTGACTGACTTTGCAGGCTTCACTTTTTCTTTGTTGGGAAAAAAATGAGATTGAATATATTCTATTGTCTTGCATTGTGAATGAACAACTCATACATAAGTGTATCTTTTCTTTTTCAAGGTCAAGTACATACAAATCTCAAGGGATTGATGTCACAGTTAAATACAGTCAAGGAAGCTGGACTGGTGTATTGGGTACAGATGTCATTACTATCCCCAAAGGAATCTATGGCAGCTACATCATCAACATTGCTACCATTCTTGAATCGGAGAATTTCTTCTTACCAGGGGTTAGATGGCATGGGATTCTTGGTCTTGCCTACGCTGCCTTAGCCAAGGTACATCGTCCTTTTCCCAGCTGTTGTCTTTCATAGTAGCAATAAATAGAAATCTAACTATTAAAATAAAGAGACCAGATGATCTGTCAGCAGTAGACACCTCCCTTCCAACCAGTGTTTCCTTTGTGTTGGTTCCAGAAAGAATAAATTGGGTTTTGATAGTACCACAGTCCCATGTGAGGATCTTTACTTTTCTGGTGATGAAGTCTCCGACTTTAGCTCTTCTGGAATGAATAAGTTTTTACAGTGCTTGTGGTACCAGAGTATGGGAGTAAAGGCTTCTTGGATGTGTGTGGAAGGCATGTGGAATGGCTCTGGTGATCTCTCTCAAGACTTGTCAATGATGATGAACTTCCTGGGCAAAGCCCTTGGCTGTTCATTCTAAGACATTCTCCATTCATCAAGTGAAAGTTGAGATGGAGCACACACATGCATAATTTTGGAACAAATATTAGCTATGGTGTTTTCATGAACATACAAACTAGCATGTCCTGTTCTTGTGGAGGTAGGAAATTCAGGTAGAAGTTTCAAGTAAAACATAAAATTTATAGTCTAAAATTTATAACCTTATAATCTAAAACTGAAGACATAGTTGGAATACTACTTAGTCATAGTGTTCAACCTACACACAACTGTCTGAGAAATTGACAAACTGAGATATATCTCATTAGAATAAATAATTCAGTACTGCCTGCTGGCTCTGGAATTAAAATGCTTTATTCAAGAGTTGTGTGATCATTGCATTGACTTCTGCTGTAGTTGCTGTGATAGACTGTTTACAAATAGACAGACGAGAGCTACTTCTCAAACTCTGGATTGGGCAAATAGTGCATTCAGGGCATTTATTTTTCCCTTCTTCCAAATACTTAGGTGATGTTGGCTTCTGAGGCTGCTCTGTGCTTTGTCTTGTAATAGCACTTGGCACCTTGCAAGCTGGCCAGGGTCTCTGCCTGTCATGAGATGTTCCTGCACAGAAATCTGAATTACAATGAAACCGTAGTACTCTAATAACTGCAAAGGAAAGCATGACATGCAGTGCAGGAAAGAACCTGTTAGTCAGTAATCAGCTGAAGTGAGTATGCTTGGATGTGAAATTCTTCAAAAGAAAGAAGAGGAAATAAAGGTCATTGAATTGAAAGTTCATTAGAATTAAACTGTTTACAAGCTGAAAATCCTTACTTTTAAATTCTGCCTTTTAACTGTGGAAAGATGCGAAAGGCAAGTTACATTTGACCATTCTAAGCCTTTTGGAAAGGCCAAACCCTTTTCTAAACAGAAAGTATCAGTGAGGGTTTCTTTCTGAAACTGGTACTTGAATTTGAAAACTGCAATTGAAAAATACTCTTGTGTTTCAGGGATTTCTGTGACAGTGGTCAAGAGTAAAAATGTTTCTAAAAACAACAGAAACAGAACAATGACAGATGTTGACTTTTTAATGACTCATGATATCTAGAATTTTCATCACCTGGTTGTCAGAATTCAATTTACTTGTGAAAAGTGGTCTTGTTTGAATGATTTGCTCATTTCTGCAAATAAACTTTTTAACAAATGCTTCTGCAATTTTTATTTTGTTTTTGTTTTGTTTTTCAACACCTTCAAGCCTTCAAGTTCTGTGGAGACGTTCTTTGATTCTCTTGTGAGGCAGGCAAAGATCCCCAACATTTTCTCCTTGCAGATGTGTGGTGCTGGGCTGCCTGTTTCTGGAAGTGGTACCAACGGAGGTAGTCTTGTGGGTATCTGTCAATCTGAGAGGGAAGATACATCTTTGTCAATCTGTCTCCTTTTTTTCTATGACTATCCTACTTTTTCCAAATTTAATGTTTAAATATATGAGATGTTTTATATTTTTTTAAGAAAAAATTCAGCACTTAGGCAAAACGCGTGTCTATTTTCATTCTCCATTCCTTTTTTTTTTTTTCTCTCAAGTTTGAGTCTGCATTTCTAGTTTAATTTTAATAAAGAAAAATATAAATGTTCTGGCATTTACTCAAGGAAGATTTTGCTACCTTTCTCAAACTGAGTAGTCCCTTACTCAGCTGGTAAGCTTGTTCAAACTCATCAAAGTGCTACAATAGTTTTTTTATGTGATGTGAAAAGGGGGAGAAGAATAAAAGCTTTTTTCCTTTTTTTGTAGACAACATGTAAAGGGAAAAAATCTGAAGACGAGATCTTGCACTTATTGTTATTCTGGAAAGTCTTTCTATCAATTTTAGTGGGACCAAGAATTAGCCATTATTTATTTGGTATCAGGAGCTGGAATGACTGTTCCCAAATTATGCTGAAATAAGCATTTCAGTCCAGGAGTTGATCACAAATAATTATTTGGCTGTGAAGTCACATACTGTAAATGTTAACACATTTGAGATAGATGAAGCCCAAGAGAGAACTCACTTCTGTGAGTTCAGTTCAAAGTATGATGGTCTGATACAGTCCCAGTCAGCTTCAACCTAAGTTTTGATGGAAGCTAATAGTGACAGCAATGATAGGATAGTCATATTCTATTTTGGATGTGTGTAAGAAAAACTAAATGTCCTTGAACAGTATTAAGGCTTTTCTGATCTGATAACGTGAACTTATGGTATGCAGGTTTAGTATTCTGTCCTATTTTTGTGCATAGCCTAGATTGAACAACTGAAGATAGATTTATTTTAAACAGTGGAGCTTTCATAGAAAAATCAGTGCGAGCATGTAGGTGAAGATTATGGGAATTTGGCCCAATATGGGAATTCTGTCTGACTGAAGAACAATCTATTTAATATCTAGATGTTTCACACTGCTTTATTATTGACAAAGAACTTGTCAGTAACAACCTCAGAAATGGTGCTGCATTAAAATTTTGATACCCTTTATATCACAATTAAATATTTCCTTTTATTTTTGTACTTGCCCCAAAACTAAGTATCCAGGATTCTGAAGTGTGTGAATTTCATTCTCCTTTCCCTTAGGTTCTGGGTGGAATTGAACCGAGTCTGTACAGGGGTAATATTTGGTACACACCAATCAAAGAGGAGTGGTATTACCAGGTAGAAATTCTCAAACTGGAGGTCGGAGGACAGAACCTGGAATTGGACTGCAGAGAGGTATTTGCAATTATATGTTTCTGTCTACATAAAATGCAGGTTTGGTTCAGAAAAACACTTGATTGATCAGTTTTATAGTTGCAAGTAGATGTGAATTGCAGTTTCCTGTGAGAATTAAGGCTGCATGGTAACTTTAAAAGAAAGTAACAAGCCCTGTGAAACAGTGTACATCAAGCATGCTAAAATCACTTCAAAGAGGACTTTAAAATCATTTACAGTATTTTCAGTAAATTATGAACTAAGCTACAATTGTGAACAGTCCGCTGAGAATAAGTCTACAATTTGGAAAGGCTCAGTCTCCTGACTAGTTTCAGTTGTAACAAAGGTATCTAAACATTGAAGATGATGCATTGATTCCAGGAGACAGTCTTTAAACAGTTTATGGTTTTCTGTCATACAGTAAAATCAAACCAAAGCATTTTAAAGCAATTCTGGTCGAACAAAGCGAAGGTTAAATTTTTAAACTGGCCCCATTGGCCCTTGTGGAGATGTCTAAGCATGTCATTCATGATGAGCAGATGCCATCCTGGGATGCTTCCCAAAGTATCTCATCCTATGTCTCCTTTTAAAAAAAAAATAAATAAATACATAATCCACTTTTATTCACTTCAGCCTTGCCAGCTGTTATTCCTGATGGATGTGTTTTCTGGTTTTATTAGGGATAATGTTCTGCTATCTCTGGATCAGTCTAATGAGACTGCGTTCTTGCAGTATTTACTCCAAAGCTGTTTCATCTTTTTCTGGATGTTGTGTTGTGTATGTGTGTGTTTTATTTGTTTCTTATTGCTGCTTGTTACTATTCATATTTTGAATCTAGTTCTATTATTTTGATGCCCTGTTTTCATCAGACATCATAATTTTATCTTATGCTTGTTGTCTTAGCTGGAAATTGCTGTGACATGATAATTCTAAAATTTTTATAGTCCATACAAAATACGTGGAATGCATGATAAAAATCTTCCATGTGTATAAAAATATATCCATTTAAAATATGGAAGTCATATTTCCATATAAAATATTTGAGATTAGCCATATTGTCTTTCAACTTAATAAGCAAAACAAGGTCTATTTAAAGGCCTCTCTATAACAGTGTTAGAAAAGCAAAACGCTGGTCCTCTAACATAAAATGTTTGTGTTTGCTTTCCTTTCTTGCCTTAGAAAAGTCAACATGAAGTGTTTTTGAAGAGGAGCCCTTGTACTAGTGGCTTAATACATGCTGTTTCCAGAAAACAGCTCACTTAAAAATGTGGCGGTGTTACGAAAGTTTCCTGTTATTGTTGCTTTTTTCTGAGCTAGGATTTGCTTTCACGTTGTGTGTATTAACATAGCATGCTAGCCACTGGTACAGAAGGCATTGTTCCTTTCCTGATCAAAGGAGACCTTCATGCAAAAATGTAGAGGAAGAACAGAAAATTAGAGCTAGTATGATTAAAGTTTGGCTAGTTAGAGGCTTGCAGAGGATGTATAATTCACTGTATAGGATAATGAACTATGTGCCCTCTCTCCTCAGTTGTTTTCTAGGAAATGAAACATTTCTTGTAACCATCACTAGAGACGACTCCTTTCCTTGGCAGGGAAAAGTATTCCCCTCACTTCAATGGTGGGACTCTGTCCAGTGTTAGATTGCAGCTGTGGCCTTGAGCCTGTCAGACCAGGGCTGTGAGAAGTACATCCTGCGTAGTATGCACTGTTAAATATTAACCAGGAAGACTCAGAAGGAAGGTTACTGCCCACTGCAAGTATGTTGTACACAGCATGAAAATCCAAGTGCAAGTCCCTAGCCGGGCAATCGTGCTACTCCAGGGATTTTGCATGGGCTTATATCAGTGGTTGACCCTCTTGACTGTGCCCCCTTCCTACAATGCTAGCAAGTGCGTATTCGTGGTAGAAACCTGTTTAAATGGACTCCACAATGCCTTGATATTTCTCTCCACCCTTTAGAAGTATTTCTGAGTGTGTAATAAATGGTTCCCTATTTGCTTTTCTTTAAGCTGTTCTTGGCAGCCTACAGCAGCTCTTTCAAAAAGAAAATAACTACGTCAGAGTTATTTGTTTAATTTTTGGTGGGTACGATTTTTATCACTGCACTAAAGATATTCCATGGGATGTGGCAACATCTAAACCAATGTATTTTAAATGTGCTTGCCGTTTGGCATCTTCCAAAAAAAGCTTATGCTGTATATTACTTTGTGGTTTATGATTACGCCTTAAACATGTCACTGTTCAGTTATATTGATCCTGCTGGCCAACTTGGTAACAAAAGTAGCTAATGCCACTGCTACTTGCCTTTCCTTTTTTTTTTTTTTTTTTTTTTGCCACAATTAATCATAGGTCTTAAGGAGTTCATGAAAAAAGGTAGACCTTTTAACATGCTTATTCTCTGTTTACTGTATCTGAAGTTTGCAGAAATCCCTTAATCTGAGGATTAGGGTTTTAATAGTGAAGACAAATGTTTGCTTAGGGTTTTTAGTGCAGATTTTGAGGCAACAGGATTGAAATTTCAAGTTTCTTTGTGCTTATTATTATTTATGTTTTAGTGTTTTTCAGAGAAAAACACTGTTGAGACAGAAAGGTATGGCATTTGGCATTTGTACTGTCAAACCAGGACTAGACATGACATACAATGCGGCTTAATGTTCCTGACTATTCTTACATTAGATACACCAGCCATTAAAAGTAGGCTGCTGTATTGTGTTTAAACAAGAGTGAGTGAGAGTGCTTTTGCCCAAAGCGTGTGGGAGGTAAAGTGGATTAGCTTACACCTGGGAGAGGGGCCAGGCTGTACTTCTTTTCACAGTGGTTTGGCCCTTTGCACCAGCTGTGGTGACACACAGTAGTTTCCTGAGTGGTGCAGAGAAATCCACCCTCGTGTCTAGGCTGACTGTATCTTACTTCTGCTCTCAGGCTTCATTTGAATTCAAGGTGTCAGCTAGAGACAGCTGCTAACAGAATGATGAGGCCTTCTACAGAAAACTGGAGGTAGCCCCTAGAACACACTCCTTGGTACTCATGGGTGACTTCAATAACCTTGATATTTGCTGGGACTCCCACACAGCTAGGTATGTTCAGTCAAAAAGGCTCTTGCAGTGCATCCATGATAACTTCTTAATGCAGGAAGTGGAGGAACCAATGAGAAGAGGCACACTGATGGACCTTGAATTAACGAATAAAGAAGGGCTGGTTGGGGACATTAAGGTTGGGAACAGCCTTGGAGTCAGTGACCATGACATGGTGGAGTTTAGTATTTGACAAGGTAGAAGCAGGGCAGTAAGTAGGATTACATCCCTGGACTTCCGCAGGGCTGACTTTGCACTCTTCAAAGATTTACTTGCAGGAATCCCATGGGCTAAGAGTCTGGAGGGTAGAGAAAAGAAAGAAGTGTATAGCTCATGTAA